CCGGATCCGCGGATTCGTTCCGGAGTGAACGACACATCACTACCCCCCACCCAGTCAAAGTTGAACTGAAGACTCTACACTGAAGATTCTACATCTACGAAGCTTGGCAATCAAAGTCATTTCAAGTTACACGTTTAGAAACATGTTCTTTTTGGAAAAATACCAGAGAGTAAGAGTGTCCGCTGAATTCGGGCGTTGTATTGGTATTAGAAGACACTGGACGGTCGTTATACCGGAAGTAAAATAACATAGTGCATAGGGAAACACGGTTGGAGATTTTATCACTGGTCGTTATAATGAAATGGTCTTTATAATGTGTGGTCGTTATAACGAGCGTCGACTGTATAAATTTGCAAATTCAGCTGTTGCGAATTGGTATTTTTATCTAAATTGTTGGACGAAACTTTAATGCCTGTTCTTCACATTTGCATAATGTTTGATTTATTTGTCTTTGGTGAAGAAAAGGATTTGAACCTCGGCTCTTGATTCGTTATGACGTCATTCCAAAGATGGGGGTGTTTATTTACTGACTTATACCAAAATTGGGGTGATGTCGTATGATTATATGTTGATCGTGTATTGATTATGTATTTATTATTATGATATTTTCCTTTTATGAACTCCAGTAGAGTTCATTTTTCTAATTTTAAAATGTTTTTAATAAATTAATGTAGGAATTGTATTTTCCCGGTCTAGATTAAAAGCGTAAGTTTAATTCCTTCCTAATTACTTTCCGTACACGCTCATTTGAATATTGTTGTGTCAGCGGAAAGATATCGAGAGATAAAGATCACGCGCTCTCTTCGTGCTAATCACATGATGCGTGGGTGTTTCTCCGTTAAAGAATCGAGGGCAATGTTTGAATCCTCTTGAGATGAATTTTTGAAATCAAACGGAACGGTCATGCGGTAGGATTGGTGAGCCTACGAGCTACGGGGTCTTTTCCCTGTTAGCACGGCGGCGATCGGCGACGGCTGTAACTAATCTATAAACGAGGTGTAAGTTTGTATGTAACTTAAGTAAGTAACAAACCCTAAATCCCTCTTGGCTAAAATGTAAATAATGCCTGTGTAAATATTTTTCTTATTTCATAGTTTTATTAATAAATAATTAAGTTTTTAACCACTGTTTCTCATCCTTTATCTTTGGTGAATTTCCCCGTAGAGTACCCATAAGATAATGCTTTTTCTACAACCTATGTTGGCTTCGGCCGAGTTGAATAATATTTCCTATAATGGTGGTTGCTCAGGCCGGAATTGAGTTTTTATACATTAATTACTTGTCTTAAAGTTCTGGCTCCTTGTTATATCATTGTTATCTGCTGCCAAACTCTGCACCATCAACATAAATGATAATGGGTCTCTTAATTTTGATTGGTTTCAGTTGAATGATTCACTCTAAAATAGCTTTCATATGCACACGATGCTCCTTGTTATATCATGGTTATCTGCTGCCAAACTCTGCACCATCAGCATAAATGATAATTTGTCTCTTAATTTTGATTGGTTTTAGTTGAATGATTCGCTTTAAAATATCTTTCATATGCACACGATGTCAGACATACGTTACGTCTCGTGAAAGCAACTATTTTGAATATCTCGCGGAGCTCGGTGGAAGCGTGTTTTTTTTTTTTATTTTTAAAATATGCATGTTGTTCACTTGTGTGTGCTCATTCCCCGTGTTCTGTGCACGCAGCCAAGAGAATATGACATTTCTTCTGAACCTGATGACTATGACCTGCGTCATCAGTCAATATGGTTGTGATTCGTCTTTGAGAAATCTGCACCTTCCAGCAGTTTGTGAAACAGCCTGTATTCTTGTTTTCCTATTTAAGAACATTTTCGATTTCGTTGACTTGTTATGAAAAAAAAATTGAATATAATCAAACACTGCAAGGAAACTGAATTTTTTACTTTTTTTTCTCTATTCGAACATGACCACAGTAGGTTATTGCGAAAACAATCAGTTTTTAGGTTATACAGGTTATTTTCACCTCTGGTTTAACCTGGCGGTTATAACCGCTCAAAATAACCGGGCTTTGATATAACCGGCTTTCGGTTTTTTTATGAAAAACAAACACCGTTTGTAGACAAAATTTTTTATTAGTATTGTTATTGCAGGAAATCAATCCACTGCCCAATATTCAACTATTCATAAAGACTCTTTCAGTAATCTGCCAACCAAGCCATTTTCGTTGAGATGATGAAATTCAAAGCTTCATAACTTGATAAATTTTAGTTTAATCGAACCTAAAATTGCGTCTGTCTTACGATACGGTTTCTTTTTACCCGTGTTAAGTACTGTGCTCGCCAAATGTGGCAACCCCCAGGAAGTAGGGTTACTATTTTGTAACTCCGCTGGAGATAGCCCGCCAGAACTAGATTTGATCGAGAGATGGTATGTGATGCAACTCTGAAATAGAATAAACCGCTTTATTATGAATCTTCACTTCGTCATTTCTCGTCAAAGTATTCTCGTCATTCTACAGTCCATGCCTTTTATATATTAGTTACGCCGAAACATATGTTATAGTTTACCCCGCTATGGTTAGAGCTATCGATTGGACGCAACAACCCGGTTATAGAACTTTAAAAAATAACTAGTTATAACCGGGGCAAAAAGTAACGAAAAAACCCGGTTTACCGAAAATAAACCGGTTTTTGGTTAAAACCGGTAGGTTTTTCCATCCCTAGACCACAGAGAAAGTTTCGAAGTTTATGCAAAATGCAACTCGACAGAGGCTGTTTCAACACATTAACTGCTTCTAAAAGCTTCAGTCTTGAGTAAGTTGATTTTTTATGTGCAGAAAATCCGCAGGCCTCATTTAAATATTTTCTCTTCCGTCTCTTTAGACAATAAAACAGTATCATAAAATAGGAAATAAAAATTTCGTTTTATTAGAGTAAGTCTGGAGTTCAACGGTACCTACAGAACCTCTGGAATGAAAGATAATAAAACATTCCACATGGAAAATAAAAGGAAGTGCCTGTTATTTTTTATTGTGGTTGTATTGATTTCTAAAGTTTGAATTTTTAACAGGATCTGAAGGATTTCTCAGACAATTTTCCTCATATGGTTGCTCTTAGGCAGTAGAATTACCTCTCATGTAAAATAAGTGAATATTAAGTGCCTCTTATTTTTTTATTGTGGTTGTATTGATTTCTAAGATTTTGATTTTTAACAGGATCTGAGGGATTTCTCAGACAATTTTCCTCATATGGTTGCTCTTAGGCAGTAAGTGTAAAATAAGTGAATATTAAGTGCCTGTTATTTTTTTATTGTGGTTGTATTTATTTATAAGATTTTGATTTTTAACAGGATTTGAGGGATTTCTCAGACAATTTTTCTCATATGGTTGCTCTTAGGCAGTAGAATTACCTCTCATGTAAAATAAGTGAATATTAAGTGCCTCTTATTTTTTTATTGTGGTTGTATTGATTTATAAGGTTTTGATTTCGATGCAGATGTGCAATTTTAATATCAAAACCAAGTAGGGGTAGTTGGGGTAGATTGTTGCGCAGGAACTTTGATACAGTTCTTAAATTTTGATGATTGGAATGGCTCAAGAAGTTCATGTCCCCACATATATATGCCATTGTAACTCTTAGCACACGGTAAAGTTTTCGCCCATGTTTAGTCAAAAGTTAATTTACAAATGAATCAAACCGCTAATCTTCTATTCGAAGTAAATTTTCTCTAGGTGTATGTTGTTTGATTTCTTTCACTAATTACGTTTTCCTGCAAGGGAATCTACACCAGAGATAGGAAAAAACATTTATTTTTCTGAACTAAATTAAATTTTGAAGTTTTTTAGCGTTGTTACTTGTTTTAAGTAAAAAAGTCTCTTGCGGCAGATTGATACAATTGACTCCGGGGTGCATTGATACTCATCTTCTGTGCGTATCAATGCGCCTTAACAGCAACCACTTTGCAAAATCGTCTTCAGAAATGGAAAAAACTTAAAAATGATCTATCTAAGAGGAACACAGAATTAAGTATTTGTTTTAAACAATGAACACGGTTTGAATTTCATTGCAAAAATGAAGAGTATTTTTGTAAATTAGATTTAAAATATTTTATTTGAAGTTGGAAAAAAATGTACTGAAACTTAATTTATATCATCGAAAGGATAATTTTTTTGTATTCTCAGATGGTGTGGAAAATATTTTTGTGCTATATTATTTTCGTAAGTCATCAAGGAAGAACGTGAAAATTTTCCTTAATTTTTAATTCATTAAAATTTCCAAAACGTCTTCGAGGCTTACAATCCCTCCCTCCAAAGTATTTTTAGACACACACGTTCTCCTTTATTATTTATACAGATAAATTATTTTCTGGAGCATTATTGTTTCATTTTTCCAGTCTCATTAAAAATGTTGAATTTTGATTAAAATTAAAGTTTGTTACTTTGTTAAACTTTTAAACCTTGATTTGGAATATAAAGTTCATTGATAAAACGCCTTTTGTTTTGATACCAGACCTATTAACCATCATTTTCGATATTTCCGTGTGCATCAATGTACCCGTTGTATGGGGCAGATTGATACAAATTCATTTTTAGGAAAACATTGTAATAAATATTTTATTATTTCATTTATGACCAAAACTCGACTGAAATCCTATATTAGATTAACAAATGCATAAATATAGTGCATTAGTTCTAATTATTTCAGTTAATAAAATCATTTTTTAGCTTTTCGAAAAAAAGTGTATCCGTGTCCTCGTTATACCAGGACCAATTA